TGATATTGCACCCCAAAAGGCTTAGCTGTCCGCTTTATGCTGTGCTCTGAACAGGTAAGATAGACCCGACGCTTGCTGTGCCAGGAGTGGAAATGGAGCTACCAAAGATAAGGGCAACAAACACGATGGTACTTCATACTTCATGGCATGAGAGATCAGTTCTATGCTCCAGGAACTGGAGGATACATATACCTTAGCGCATTCACAATATACCAGAGTCAGCTCATGTTCATAGCAAATTCTTTGAGACAATTTCAACCAGGGTGACAGAAAAGCAAGTTTCACCCATTGCATCTGGCACCATTGCTCCATGTCACACATATCAAAATTTCTCTGTCTGTTACTGCAAGTACTTGACTTACTTGTGAAAATCAATTTTCTAGACTTCCTGGAGTGTCCTGCTTTCATGGCTACATCTTCTGGTTGAGATGATTTGCCAGAAAGAAACTCATCTGCTGGAGTGACCTGCAGGCTATGTCCTTCTGTATCTGCAAAGAGGGTAGACTGTCGTGCCTGTCCTGGAGCCACATCAGTTACACCTGGCAAAGCAGCACAGGCAGTTGTCACCATACCACAGCCACTCCCAGCAGTAGCATCCCAGCAGTGATGCCCAATGAGGGCATCGCAATCATCAGTGATGCTGTGCACAGTTGTCACTAGAACGATCTCTGAACAATTTTCAGAATCAGCACTGCTGTCTATGGATGGTGGCTCAAGCATTACTGCAAACCTGGTTACCCCTGCAGCACAAGCTGTTGAACTCAGGTATACCGCTAACAATTAACACTTGTTGGCCTTGGCACAGCATCTGGCAGAAGTGACTCTCCAAAAAGGATCTACGAAATGTAAGGTATCAGGGACATCTGCTACGGCACCCTATCTACCCTGCCTTCTCTTCATAAATAAATGAGTAACACACGGGGTGCAATACCTCTCTTTGCCTACTTCACAGTCAATATTTTGATATTAAAGACGATTTTTTCCACGTAGCTGGTTAAAAAGATTTAACAACTGCTGTTAACACTTGCACAAAAAAATTCTTTGAACACAACTGGATCTAGTCTAAGTCTCCAGGTCCACCACATCTCTCCAGATCCAGTGCATCTACATTACCCTTTTCATTTGATTAGCACGCGATATAAATGGATTTATCACTGTCGCTTGTCAGTGACATACTACATATGTGGAAAGAAACACACTCACCTCTTAGGTAACTGCTGAGCAACTGGACTGATTCAGACCCCATACTCCTGTCCTGATGGTGCTGAATTATTATTTTGTGTGGTCACTTGGGTGGTGGTTCTGGGACCATCCTGACAGGTCTGAAGCTCTCTCACTAATGGATAGAGTGAGATTCTCATTATCTTGTGACTGGTCTGCAGTGAGCACAAACAACACTGGGTATGTGAGTAAATGAGGGAAGCACCTAGATATTTTTTTTTGAAGGCATCTGGAGGCTCAAATGTCCAGCTGCCAATATTGGAATGACATCTGCCATTCCTCAGCTGGTGGTGTGGTTTCTTTAAAATTTGGTCCTGATTTGTGTTTCAATTTGAAGAAGAATTAAACTTCATGAATAAATAGAAAGCAGACTATATATTAGAGAATCTCAATTGGATTCTAAGAGGGCTAGAAAGTATGTAAACACCCATCAGTGGAGATTGCCTTTCTTACATCATTATTTTGTTCCCTGTCTTAGCAGAACAGGGAAACACGTGATGTACCTTCAACCAAACATATTTAGGGGGAAAAAAAAAGAAAAAAAAAAAAAGAAAATTGAAATCTTACCTTAAATACATCCACTCCCATACCTTGGTCCTCTGTGAAGAGCAGCGACTGTGAAATAGTCCAGAGACATCAGCGTTCAAACCCCTCTGTAATAAATGCAGGCAGCTCACCTCACACTGACAGCTTGCTCTCTATAGCTGCACTAGTTTTAAACCAACAGTATTGACTTTAAAGCAAGATTTAACCTGATCTACATTTGCATGAATAATAGATCAAGCCCATTCTTGGTTCAACAGCTCGGGCAGTTCAGATTCGGTTCAGCTTAGAAACTCAGCACCATCAGTAGGAAACTTTTATTTGAAAAGGAAAGATTAAAACGTGTAGGAGCTGATGAGGATACCAGGAAAAGCAGGCAGAGAGAGGCAATGCCTAAAAAACCAACTCTTATATGTCAAGTCCTCTGCAGCTGCCAGCATGCTTTTCCCTAGACCCAGAGGACAGAAACTAGCAGAACACAGAGAACAATATAAAGAGGCAGGAAAAGTGGGTGGGAGAACCACCTTGACAAGGTAGATAAGCTCAGGAAATGAAGGCTAAAAGATGAGGTGGGATGAAGGTACAGGAAAGGGCAAACAATTCAGATACTCTGTCAAACAGACAGCTCTTGAGTCTTCCCATAGCATGAGGGTCAATCAAGATTTTATGTAAGATAACAAGATGCTAGAACTGCAGCTTGCCAACAAAAAGTTAGTGTATTCATACTTACATTTCCACTGGATTAAAATATGACAACTTGAGCAATTTTTATTTATTGAAGGCAGTTCTTCTTCAAAAGCTTCTAAAACAATTACAGAGAAGTATATCTCCCAACAACATGCATGCCTGAAGATGGAGTATATTCTAGGAAATTTGTGATCCTTATGCTAGATGTGCTAATTCTCTAATAAGTACTCGATCGTTTTTTTTCTTAAACTACCTAAAAAAGAGTCTCCAAGTGCTGATCAATGCTAAATCTATTAAAACTGATGTAAATCTGGAAAACCTTCACTGAAATTGCACTGATGGAAAAGCCAGTGCCAGACCATAACTAAGCCTCATGGGGAAAATCTAAAAGTCTGAAGTTCCTGGGAGTTTTATTGTTGCACCAGTGGAGCAGGGATTTCTTCCTAAATGTTCCCCAAGCCCTGGGATACTCGGCCTGTACTTTCTCTAATGTGTAAGGGATGGAAGAAATCAGAAAAGAGCATATAATAAATCAACTGACAGTCTCTGAAAAATAGCTGTCCTGTCTCCTTAATATGAGAGAGAGTAATGTTCTGAGGGCAGGAGGAATTCGGCTTTAGACAGAAAACATTCCCCTATAGGGGGACAAAAAGTGATCATTCTGTAGTTTAATCAATCTCAGGCCTCTCTTTGAGGCAAATAGTGTGTTGCCTGCAACAGCACGTGTAATAATGTTTGCTGAAATATAAACTACGGCTGTATACCCCAAGATGGAAGGTCAGAAGTCAACTGAGGATCTGGCTGCAGATGTTCGGCAATAGAGATCAAAACGCAATATATCAAATTCAGTACTTTTCCTGGAGGAACAGGTTGCAGAAATTCCTCAACCATTCTCCTTCGCAGTAAGTGCACTCACCCTGCATGTAACAAAACTGTATGTCACAAATTGCCAGGTTACTCAAAGACAAAGTTCACATTTTCTAATTTCACTGTCCTGTGTTTGAGTATTTTAGTATTCATACCGTGAGTTTGCTCTTACACGAACATAGCCCCCTTGAACCTCTGCAGTGTTTTTCAACACGGTCTGTCTACCAAAGTGAAGAATCATATGACACCATTTAGTCCTCCCCCAACCCTTGATATATGTTTCCTAAAGCCGACATTTGATATTATGGAATGTGTTGTAATCAATTCTTAAAGTTATAGCACCACTGGATTTTTATTAACTTGCACAACAACAACAAAAATCCAACAAAAAATGGGCCCTCATAACCAATCAGCCTTGTTATATCCTGAAAGCTGCTTTAACAAGCAGGGAGTAATATAGTGTAATTGGTACTCCGCAATTTAATTGTTCTGTTCTTAAATCTAATATTGCAGCTGTGGGTTAAGTTTACACCACAGCTTTCAAGAGAACATGAAAGTGTGGTACATCTGTGCAACAGAAAGCTAAACATCTCTCATCTGATGTGTTTACAATGACATTTGATAGCGTGGAATGGTTTAGAGTTCATTCTTAAAGCTGCAGAACCACTTTTCAACGCTGCAAAAAAAGGGAAAAAGCCTCCAATCTCCTTCAAACAGCTCAGTGCACGTAAGCCTGACAATAATGCTGCTGCAGGCATTGCAGGGAAACTGCTGGCTGTAACGCTTTCTTCAAGTATCTCTGAGCCTTTGTCACTCGGGCAGTGAAAAAGGGGGCAAGGACATCTTTCCCCTCGGATGACATAATCAATTGTTTGAAAAACAAACCACTCAAAAAAGTCTGCAACTAGATAAGTAAAACAATCCTTGACAGGCATAAAACCCACGAGAATATTTCAAGAAATGTTATTAAGTGGACGACCTTAGCACATTTAGAAATGGCAGAATTTTCAATTTAACAGGTGGCAGAACTGCTTATGGTATCTTGAACTTTACATTCTGTATAACTAACAGCTTCAGCATTATGTACTTGTTAGTGAATTTATTAAGCCCATAAGTAGTTCAAGAAACTTAGGAATGGGCTCATAAATGTCATCTGCAGTTTGTGAACTGCAAGTATCTGACTGTTTTGATCAAGGTTTTTACAGGAAAGTTAAATGGTTATTAAAATTATTTACTACTGCTACATGAAAAGGGAGCAAGCCTGCCGAAGAACTTAGGCTGTGATAAGATGTGAAAGGCTGTAGGTCAAATGTGTTAGCAAAAAAGCATTTCTGTTTAGGTCTAAGCCTAAATTTTTATACATTACGAAGCTGATAGTGTATTTAAGTGGCTGATAAAGGGTCCGTGGAAGGGAGCTGGCATTTTCCCTTTCCCATAATCTGCTGCCAGAAATATATGATCTGATCAGGCCACTTTTCTTGTTCTCAACATTAGCCACCTTCTAACATTTTCTGTCCTTGGAGAAACGCACGATAGGGCAATTTAGTTAAAGAGGTCACTTTCTGCTCATTCCTCTGTAGCAGTCCACACCAATGTCTTGATTTATGCTCTTTAACAAACAAAAAGTTAATCTCACTGATGAAGCTCAGCTATATTACCATACTACACTGGAATACATTCAGTTTTTAAACTTTATTATTTCAGTCATAATTAAGACTATCTGAAGCCTCTTCATAAAAAGGGGCCATAACAAAGGCTATACATTAGCAACTCGATCAATGGATGCACTCATTCTGCATCAAAAATACCGTAAGAAGGACAGATCTCCTGGGGAGGCAAATCTGTATCAATATTTCAGTCTCTTGAATACAGAAATTTGATACAATAAAATGCAACACCCGAGCTTCCCCTCCTTTCAATTAACTGAGAAACAAAAATTGTCCTTAGAAGGGAAGAAATGCATTCTTATTTTTAAGTTTTCGGGTTTTCCCCCCTTTCATAGCATCATAATGTTCTCTTCATGTGTGGAAAACTTAATCTTCAAGTTCAAGCCTAGTTTCTTCATACAGTTCGGGATGAGATGACTTGGAATACCGGGAATATTTCAGATGTAGAAAATCACCCAATTCATCCAGAGCATTCAAAACCTGTAAGACCATTATACTGCATCAATTCTCTTGGAAAAGAAAGGAAGTTCTAGTAACGTCTACTTTACAGCAGAACAAGCAGATCATAAAGGCATTAATTAAAGAAAGCTTAAAGGGCAAATGGACAAATTTTGCTTTCATTCTCCTTTAGTGATGCAGTCATAGATGTACAATAGCATCTACGAGAATGGAATTTACCCTTTCGGTAGGTTATGGTTTATTAGTAAGTACATTAATTGAGCACAGATGAAAAAAAATGACCTTTTTCTAAAAGCACAGGGAGATAATAATCTAGATAAAAAGTTATCTTTGCTCGTGCAAAAGGAATGTGAAGACAATGCTTCAATATTTCCCTATAGATCCCAAAGACTAGAGTTGCCACTGCATTTTCTTAGATGGGACTCAGCCCATTGTGCTGACCAGGGTCATCATAAATAGTCTGAAGAGTTTAAGATATTTTTAGGGCATTCCGTTACCTTCTTGTATTGCTATCACAGGAATAATTAATAATGCATTAATATTGTAATGCAATTTGCTGAGCTGCGGCCCCAGCTCTCAGTAGATTCAAGAAGTAGCCAGGGAACTCTATACCATAGAGAAGCAGCTCAGTGTTTTGCAGCATCTGATCCACATTCAAAAGCAGCCGACCTTTTGGCATCAAAGAAGAAAGCAGCAATTTTGATTTTGAGCCTGTTTCTGTTAAGCCACTAAAATGAACTCAAGAACAGAAAGGAGTAATTTAGTAATGGTTTATGCAGAGAGATAGCTTCAAGGTCATTAAGGAAGTTATTCTTGGGAGCCTGCCCTTTCATGGATCTTTCCTCTTTTTAGTTCCAGGCTGAGATTCAAAACAAATTTTGCCAAAGGGAAAAGTTTTCGTTGTGCTTGTTACCTGTTGTTACCCTGTTTTTAGGCATATTCACAAAGTGTTTGTCCTAAAAACTTTCCATCTGCAAGTAATTAAACTCAGGGCATTTCCACTCCCTCATACTGTAAAGACATTTAAAGAATGGCACAAGTACTACAGCAATGATCCCACTTTCAAAGGCAAAAATACAGCACGTTCAAGAATGATGGCTGGGAGTGTTTCAGACCTTCACTGGTACCAGGAAGCACCAACGTGCAGGTAGCAGGAAGTGAACATGCAATGACTGGCCCAAAAACATGATGGGCTTGACATTTGGGGGTGAGGGAAGAGGAAGAAAATCAAAGCAGCAACCTCAAGAGATTAATCTTCAGATCAACTTCATCACCTATTGCTAGTTATATAAGCCAAAAATCTACACAATCAAACTGCAAAAGCTGACAATGACCAACACCAGTATGCAGCTACGCCCCGTTCTATGCAATATTATCTTTGTGGTATTATACCTTGTTAATAACTACTGCACCTTTAAGAGCAGCAGGAATTTTACGCTACACACATGCAAGGCAGACTTTTCGATGTTGTTTGAAAGGGGTCTGCAGTGGCGTGGGAGCTGGTCAGCCATGCAGGGCTCTGGCCTCGAGCTCCATGTGAATCTCAGGATGCAAATAGAGAGCCAGGGGCTCTCTGCAGGCACAGGTGCTTGTCTGCATGGAGGACTGGCATCTTTAACTCAAATGCTCTCCGTGATCTTTTGTTTTGACCATCAGACTTGTGCAAAGAGAGGAAAAAGAAAGCCTGAAATTTACTTTTAAGCCTCTGTGTTTCGTGCCTTCAAGTCGGCTTATTCTGAGAATGAAAGAACATATAACAAGCCAGGCCAAAAACACCTTTGGCAAGAAAGGGAGATGGAAAATTTCAAAGCGTTTATTTTAAACACATTTCTCACTGCACTGGAACGGAGCTTTATGATGGAAGTCTCAACATACTCTTAACAGTATTTCTGATATCAGAGAAAGATACAGAACTGAGACAGGCCGGACAGCACCAATTGAACTTCATTAGGTTCAAACAGTTCCAAATACTGTTTGCAATTTCCACCTGTACCCCCAAGGCTGTCCCATATACTTCTGCAATTCAGGAAACACTTGGAAGTATGGAATGAAAACAAAGGTACGGAAAACTTGATTTTCAATTATTTCCATATCGTTTCAGGTTTCCTACTCTGATAGTTTTGACCTAGCATTTAACTTTTGTCTTGCTGTGCACTTCATGTAGGTCTTTATTAGTGATGACAGATTTGGTCACTATTAGAAATAGAAGAACATAACAAGTTAACTGTCCCATAATTTTTTTTTTTTAAAATAAAATATATAAGGCTAAAATGCCTTTAAAGATCAAGTGACAAGGCCAGAAAAACAAATGTAAAAATGAATTATTGAGATTCAAAGTAACAGACACACAGCTTCTCCCAACCTGCTTTGCATCTGAAGTTAATTTCAGCAGGACATCTGCTGTGCTTACCGTGTCTAACATCTCCCGTGTATGTGCAGCTGACACACAAAACCGAGCCCTGGATTCTGTGATAGGAGTAGCTGGAAATCCAACCACAACGACCCCGATATTTTTTTCTAACATGCGTCTTGCAAAAGCCCTAAGGAGAGAAGAAGAAAAAAACCAAAAGTAAATTATCTCCAATAAACTGACCACAGAGAGAAAACATTCAAGTATAATAAAACAATGGGTAAAATCCTGTCTTCAATTGAAGTGGATGGTAATGTTCCCATTGAATTCAATACGAGCCAGAATTTTACCAGTAGAACTGAGATTCTTTGCTGCTTAACAACTCATGAAGCCAAGTGGGTGTCAAATACTAGAAGTGCAACGGCAGAGAGATCACTGTAAAATAGACATGACTCATTTATGTCAATGAAAGGCTTTGAGTGCAAATCAAAATGTGTGGGCATTCCCAGTCCATAAGCGCGAAGAAGCTGGGCTTCTGGAAGGTATGAGGGCTGGGCTCCTGCACACCAACAGCAATAAAACAATCTATATGATGGTTTATTTGCTCTCACAATTACTCTGCCAATTTAGGAACCTTTTGTGTGGAACGTACCAGACCTAGAGCATATAGCCACCCTAAGCTACTTGCAAACATTCCCTACAGCTCAACCCTTACATTATGCTACTACTGACTTCTGGTCTGCATGTCCAAGTCAGTGCACAAATGCTGCTTGATAGGTACTGAATGGTAAAACATGCAAAGAGCATTCCAAGGTCAGATGGGGAAAAAGAACATCTATCTAAAACAATTCATACATCAAAGGCAATATTTTTCATCAATCATTGCAATGATTACAAATTAAAAAAAAAAAAATCCAAATTCAAAATGCTATCAAAAGTATTATTAAAAAAAAGATGAGAGAAATTTAAAAAATTCTGAATACTAGAACAGCTCAAAATTAAGACTGGGGCCAAATTAAAAATAGAACATAAATAAACAATGAATTCACCTAACAGTGTATGTTTCTCTTCTGAAGAGAATTACCACACGTAACTACATTTTTCACAGTGTATACCAAATAACCTATGAACTTGAATAGCATTTGTTTTGCCAACAGTTTGTGCTTTTTTTCAGTACTTACCCTATCTTACCAGGCATATAAAGGAGTAAGGGGACAACAGGAGAATCATCATTGCCATAAATGATGAAACCCATTTCATGCAGTCTTCGTCTGAAGTATCTTGTGTTTTTCCCCAGCTGGCGCACTCTTTGGAGCCCTGAAATGAGTCAGTCAGAACAGTCAGTGCAAAGATCATAACTGGAGTCTAGTAACAGGCAAGAAACAGGGCCATGGGTAGCAGTTCAAAAAAAGTTTGGCTGAAATGTATATGTTGCTATTTGATTCAGAAGAAAAACATGGAATGAGCTAAATGCAACTACATTGATTATTACAGCGTTGTAGGACAGATGGCTGGTACCCCCGTACTTGTGAGTGCCTTCCCACCAGCAGAAACAGTATGTCTTCTGAGGACAGACAGGTGAACAATTCCTTTTACTGTACTGCACTGAATGAAGCCTACTGAGGGACACACACCTATAGGGAAGTAGTCGTATGTCTCTGTGGATATAGGACATGTAAGTAGAGTATGTTCTCTCTCATCGTAATTCACTATAAAGGGAAACAACCAATGTCTACAGATGTCGATAGAGATTTCAGCATATGCGTATCTTTTCTCATTAACAACATCCCCCAGGGGTCCTCTTATATATCAGTTAGTTCTGTGCGTACACATTCGTGGGGTTTTTTTATTCTTTGACTGTACTGAAGCTTAAAGTAGAAAATACTGCATTTTGGGTCAGCTCAAACTGATGCTTTTGTTGCAATATTTTAGACAGGAAAAGCATGTGATAAACTTTGATATTACACAAGGTCTGATCTTCTGCAGTTAGTTACCAACATTCAGCAAAACTCCAGTTACTCTAATATGCATCTACGTAAGTAATTCCTTGCTGAGTTCTGCTCACTTATTCTGTCCTCTTATTTTGCTATTAGTACCTCAGCATCATCATCTGACAACAGATTTTAGTCATCCAAGAATTTCAGACAAGTTTTGTTCTCTTCATTGTCCCTGGCCTCATTCAGTCACAAATCCACTGATATGTCCCCCAGCAAAACTGACAGGGGAGTTGAAAACAATTATTTTTAATGAAGGAAAAAGACAAAAAACAGCGGAGAAAAAACGTGCTTGAAAAGTCATCGCAGCCTTTTCCTTTGCAGCGTCACTAAGGAGGTGGTTTCTGACAAGTGCAGTTGTTTCCCCACCCATTGCATACAAAAGGGAAGAGCCACACTCAACATTACTGTAGGTAGGAGATATTGTATGTCCTTTCCCACTCCACCTGCACTATATTTCACCAGTGAGCTGATATATGCGCCTCTCTCCCAATGCTGTAAGGCGCTGACAGGGATAATGCCACCTACCCTGTACCCACATGCTGCTCTTTCCCACTGCCTCCCCAGTACCAGTCCTAGGTTCACACAGCCACACGATGAATCAAGCCAGGTCTGTCATCTGCCTGACCTCGCCAGAAAGAATACTGCCAAACCAATGTCAAACAGATCGATTCTCGGAACCTAATCGCTGTGCAGCTGCTTGTGCCTGCCCAGCAGAGGCGGTGGGAACATGTGGTAAGAATGCCGTTCATCAGCCCATACTTTCAATATCACGTACATTATGTCACCAGACATGAACACCGAAGCCTCCAGTACAACTCATTTCCTCTTTTTCCCTTTGCTTTTAAGGTGCCTTTGCACAGATGTATTACGTTTTCACTCTCCACTTACTTTTTCATTTTCCTTCACTTTTCATTTGCTTCATTCTTCATTTACTACTTTCTGCCATCACCCTTCTCTGACTGCATGCCTGTTTCCTAATTTCCCATCTTCCTCCTTGTAACCACAGTGGCCAGTTAGCCATTTGTAGCTGCCACATACCACCTTCGGCAGGTTTGTCCTCAGACCACATTCTGCCCCACCGCCCGGCTATGGCTTTTCTTCCTATTCCCTCTTGGCTAAGGTAGGGATCACCACACCTACATAAACCTCTTTTCCATTAATAATTTCTGAGCGCATGTAGGTTTGAACAAGATCTACTGCTTCATCTGTTCTGTATCTTCCCGAGTCAAGGTTCTGTCAATGTTCTGGCTGGGAAATTTATAGGGAAACTGGGACTTGCTTCACAGTGATCAGTGTTTTGCTGAACAAATTAAAAGATCTCATAAAACCAGTGCATTTGTAACTTTATGCACAAAACTGCCCACGCAGACAACCTGTTAGTTACAGTTTCAGTCATTCAGTTTAAAGCATTCAGTGGAAGAGCTCTGCTGGGTTAGAAAAGGCCACAAATAGTTTAACCATCTCTCTAATGCTGCTAAAACAAAAACAGCTGTGCCAGAGCAAGGAAAACAAATGAAACACAAAAGCATCCTACTACAAAGCTTTCCAGTCACTAATAAAAACAATAGTCTGTGGTATTTCCAAAAATATTTTTGGTGTAGTAGATCTCAAAGAATCAGGAGGAAATATTGAGGAGGAGGAGGAGGAGAAATGGGGGCAGGGCAGATGGCAAGGAAAGGGAGTTAGAGAAGAACCGCAGAATAATGTGTCTGAAGTCTAAAGAGAGAAAGTTTTCCCTCGCTAGAGTTCATAAAGATGTTATTAGCACCTCGCGAATGCCCAAATTACAAGGAGGAGGGTGGAGGAGTAACGTGAACTGGGGTCTCAGAACCACTCCTGCTTCTTGCTATCTTAGCAGCCCCTGAGCTAGTTTCCAAACTCTCCGTCTACAGCATTTGAAACTACTAGATTTTCAATTAGGGAAAGTTTTCATAAATGCAGATGTTCTTGGCGAGTGCAGTTTATGACTTGCTGCCTTCTCCTTGCTATTCAGCTGTTTACCACAAAGCTGGAAACAAAGTGTCAGCCATGCAAGATTCCAGGCCCTTTGGTATTTATCAAACCGTATGCGCATGGCCCAGACTTGATCAGTTTGTCTCTACTTATTTTAGGTACCGGAAATTTAGACTCCAAAGCAAGAGGGGGAATCCAGCAAAGGAAACCTTAGAGCTGAAAAAGAAGTTTCAGGCAATCCCCCAAAAGTCCAACACCTCTTCCTTTTCTAATCTTCCCTTGTTAAATCTATATCCTCAACCAGTTTGTGATGGGACGGATCGCCTTTCGAGACTCCCTATGGAACTCGTTCCAAGCCAACCGGTGCTGATGCAAAAGCTTTAGCAACTTTCATGCTTTAGCAACATCCCAGAATAGTTATTTCATTTGCAGGGATGCATTAAAGAGCCAAATAAAAGATCAGAGCACTCACATATATCTGGAGGGAAAAAAAGCACATTAGGAGACGATTGCTACACACACTGTATTTGTGGGTGGGTGGCTGGGAGGAACCTACTTCTTTACCAAGTGTCAACACTTTCCTTTCTCATGTTAAGTTTTGTGGTCAAAGACCACATGCACACATCATATACACAGCCATCTTATATGCTGTCCTGATAAGAGCAATAAAAACCTTAAAGTTTGTAACTCTGTTTCAATGCTCTTTTTCGTTCCTTTATGGGACCCTCCAACATCAGATAAGGAGGCTGATCTGAGCAAAATGTTTATTTTGGTCTTTTTGGCCCATTTTCCCCCCTACATTGCAGATTAGATCAGTGTAAGAGTGATGAATTCAGCTTAGAATCAGATCTTAGTCCAAATTCACTGTGGTATGTTTAACCAAAGACACTGCATTTAAAAACTATTTTCTTTGATTCTTGAGGCTGTGATCTTGCATCCTTTATTATTTATTGAGTGAAAATCTGCAGAGTCGGACCCTTGAGCTAAAACGATCTAGTTGCTTCTATTTGAGTGTAAGAATTTACCAGCGTGGCAATAATTAGAGGATCAGGTCCTTAGACAGTAAATATATTTGTTCAAAAATTCTTAGTTTGCAAAATTCTTGAGGATTTACAGTCTATGCAAATAGCTTATAGCACATCATGCAGATATCCAGATAGTTATATTCCATAAAAAATGTGGACCACACCACAGAATATGTTTTGGAGAAAACAGCCTGGACAAGGAAAACTGACCCTTAGCTAATTAAAACTAAGCCCACTAATGCTCCAGAGTTTTCAGCTAAGGTTAAGCATGGCCTTACTAAGAGCTCTACATTTTTTTATTAGCTGAATTAAGAAGGGACAGAAAAAGAGAAAACTGAACTATAAAGGATTCTTAAATTTCACAAGTTATCCTCATGCTGCTTGGAACATAGAGTGATACACAGCCAGCTTACTGGGATTTTGTTGAAATACAGGATTAATTACCTGGATGGTACAACAAAAACAGACTTACTGCAACTGCAGTCCACCTATTGCTGGCAAATTCAGAGTTTACCTTTGTTGCACCACTTTAAAAATATTTGGTTAACTGCAAAATTCTAAGGTGTTGGCAATTCTGGGAAAAACGCTGATTATATTTTTATTTGATATGCATTATTGCATATTGCCAGTTTTAGCTCATTAATTTCTGCAGGCTTTTAGAAGGCTTTATAGCTCAAAATTAATACGGTTTAGTTTAAGGAAAAATACAAAGAGAAGACAAGAGAGAGAGAAATGATAAAAGATACTGGCTTGCTCATAATTTCTTTGAAGCAACAAGCTTTTTAAGAGAGCCACTTGGAGTAACAGACTTGCGGTAGATGCTTTGTCACATGCCAGGCTATGGCTTTAGACCTGCTTTCAGTGAGAGCTGCTCTGGAGTTTGACAGCAGGAAGGCATCCTGACTACATGTCTGGGGGCCTGATCCCAGGCGGGTGTTACCTGGCACAGCTCCCACACACTTCAATAGAGCTTTGCTATTTATGCCAGCTGAAGACCTTATCCTGGCAGCAAAAGAGGTAGTAAAACTATCAGTTCTCTGAAACAAAAGTTTGCTTTCCTCTTCCAGAGATGTCTGCTTTTCACTCCTGCAAGATTTTAATAAGCAGGGAAGCTGGCTGTGTTCAATTCCCGCACAAACATTCTACCTTTGAACTCTTCCTGTACGCTTCTAGCCTTGGAAATTCTGACTCAGTATATTGAAAACAGGAATAAGCAACCTGTAGCCTTTCATATCAAGATCTCAGGTGTATTTTAATTGAAGGAGAGCTATTTTTCCTGAACCCGTTCCAGGAAAGATAATCCCACGCTGTACTTTTTTTTTGGCATGCGGTGGACTCTTCA